GTAGCAGTCGTAGTAGTCGTCGTCGTCGTAGTAGTAGTCGTCGTCGTCGTCGTAGTAGTCGTAGCAGTCGTAGTAGTCGTCGTCGTCGTAGTAGTAGCAGTAGTAGTCGTCGTCGCCGTAGTAGTAGTAGCAGCAGTAGCAGTTGGAGTAGCAGCAGTAGTAGCAGTAGTAGTCGTAGCAATCGTGGTAACAGTAGCAGCAGCAGCAGCACCAGCAGCACCAGCAGCAGCAGCAGCAGCAGCGGCTGCAGCAGCAACGTGTGTACCACATAGCACCTATGCTACTACTTTCTACCTACCTCCGACCGCTTAGCACCCATCACCGCATGTGGCCCCCTGGATCAAAGGAAGCGCATGATCGATCTCTTTGCAGAGATTTTCAGGGCTACGCCTTTGTGCCACGTGATCAACGACGAGGCCTCGTTCCGATGCTCTGGCGTTGGACCTGTTGACTTGTAGGTTATCCCCGCAGCTGATCGAAGCTTGGTCCAGTCTTTCTGGCAGGTCTTCGTCGTTCATGGAGGCATTCCGGGCCCTGACCCGCGCGTGTGGTGGAAGGGCATGGACAACCAGATCAGCTCCTCGGCTAGCAGTTACTCTTCGGGCGCAGTTCGGGCATTGCTGTGGATCAGCCGTTGACGCTGGCTCCGGATATGTGATGGTAGCTCCCATACCCGGTATGTCCTATCTTTACTTATACTGTAGCTAGAAGGATCTGCCTTCTGCTCAATGTCAGGCTTTGACGGTCGTCAGATCCAGATCAGCCTGTCCGAGCCACGGCATGATTAAGGCAGATAAATGTCCGATTTTCCCCGGACATCGTGCAAAGGTTGTAACCACTTTCTACTTTATGGCGGGCCACAGAATCAGGATGAAGAAGCATGGCCACTGCTAAACAGATGTGCTGCGGAGCATCGGTTGTCGGACACGTCATGTGCCGATTTGACATGACTGTGCTGCAATGATGCTTATGGAAGCCGCTCCAAGCCTGACATGAATCACGGGAGGGGACAGAGAGAAGGGGAGAGAGCCGGAGAAAGCCATATCATATGTACATGACCCTATGATTCGACATCTGTCCACACATGCAGCCTCAGTCCATTCATTATACACTGGCTTGCCTGCATTACCTTAGTTCAAGGAAATCGAGAACTCCAACCGCTTCATGGAGCCAAACCCAGACGAGAATCCGCTGATGGTTGCCGCGGGCCGAGAAGCACAATGCGATTTCGGTGAACGTCCGTACGATAAGGATCCCATCATTTAGTGTTCTACTCCCGCACGTAGTTTCTGCAGTTAACGCAGGCTGGCTGGGCATTTGTACATCTTGTTTTGTGTACGTCTGTGTGTGTCATGTGTGTACATGTGCACTCGTGTATGTATGTCCATGTATACCTGCATCCATGCACTCATAACGTACGTAGACATATATATGTATATATACATATATATAAATACACATGTTTGTGTATGTATATAGGTATTCACATGTATGTATATGTATGTGCATGTATGTGTATGTATGTATGTATGTATGTATGTATACAGACATGCATACATACATAGGTACCTAGATACACTTAGATACATCCGTTCACTCATACCTAGATACCTACATGCGTACATACCTACATAATTTCATACATATAAGCAATACCGTGCATTCATGTGTGTAAATAGGCTGAAATATTTGAGTTAAACTATTTGGGTCTTCCTGCATGCATGTAATTTGTCGTGCTGCAGCTGTCCGTGGTCCTTTTCCTATTGGCGCGCTTTTTTTTACTTGGGAGGGGTTTCTGTACATAGAGAGCTGATTGAAGCGAGCAAGCTTTGGCCGCTCATGCGATTGAGGATCTGCTATGGTCCGACCCGAAGGGCAAGGATGGTTACGGCCCATCGGGGCGCATGTCCTCCGGCATTTACCTGCCGCTTGACTCCAGCAATGAGGACCGCCCTGGGTGCAACAACAACAAGAACAGCGCAGGATACACACGGCTTGCCATAAGACCGCAAATTCGAGTTCAAGCTCCGATAAGCTTTGTCTTGCATGTATGCCAGCGCCTCACTGGAAAGGTTCGGACCTGATGTGTCCCGGAACTTCATGGAGTTCAACGGCCTCAAGACCCTTGGCTTCACAAGCTGGATTGTTGCTTCTCTCCCTTAGCAGGTAGTCACATTTGGGCCTTGTGTTCAAGATAGAGCTTCATACATAAGGCCACTGTTTCTGCCCATGCCGGCTTGTTCCGAGTTATGTGTGCGTGTACATATTTATGTAGGTATGTGTATGTATCTGTATGTTTGTCATTGTGTGCATGTTACATGTATATCACTCTGTATGTATGTGTATGTATATATATATATATAGAATTTTTCGTGGATGTCTATCTACAGCTATAGTCAACTGAGGATGACGCTTCGCTCGCATGAGGTCAAGGCAGGCTTCTTGCTTGACATCGCAGAAGTTGGCATTTTAAGATTTAGGGTTTAGTTTTTCATGCAGGTTCAGGATTTCGGGTTTCAAAGGGAGATCCCGGCTGCCGGGCGACCAGAGAGGATCGAAGCCTTGCAGCCCGGAGGCGCAGGGGTACCGCTTTGACCACGAGGGCGCCTATCCGCTCATCACTGTCTTCTCGGCGCCGAATTACGCTGCTGGGCAGGTAGCAATGCATGTGCCAGAATCGTTCTCGCAGTTTTGAGGCAGAACATGATAAAGATTCTATATCAACTTTCGTCAGCAGTTGTGAAAGCAGCCGATATTTCACTGCGTTTTGGATTGCTGCGATGGGTCGTAATTTCACTGGGGTGTCGGCGGTGGCCTTTGAACGGATCAGGTCTCCAGGACTGCATTTTGTCGACGGTTTCGTTGAACACCGAAGGGTTTCTAAGATGAGTGGTGCCTTGAGCTTATAGCCCCACTTCTCGTACTCTTGGATGAGTGTCGACAACAAGTTATATTGAATTCAAGGACTGCATGCCCCACCACTGCTCCACGTGTGTGCGTGTGTGTTGTGCCTTCAGTGTTCGATTGCAAGTGCCGAAACCTCTATTTGGGTTTCAGAGCCCGGAAATCCCGGAAATGCCCGGAATCCTAAGCCTATGACTGCCATCTAGCCCTCAACCCAGGTTGACAAGGCTGGCAACATGGCCTCCGTCGCTGTGCTGTGCCTTGGCTCATAGGTGATTCGGGTGGACGTGCACATGCGCACCCAGCACATCACTGCGCAGGCATGAAAAGACCATGCATGCCTCCATGCATGCGGTCAGGCAGGAAACAGGCACGATAAAGACATGACACCCTCTCCCTCCCTCCGGTTTCGTGTGCGTCAAGGTTTTGTATGTGTGGATCCGCGTGTATGGCGGGCGTTCGATACAGCAAGGAAACAGGTCCTGTGCGCCTATGTCTTGGCCACCGTTGCCGTAAGCAACAACAAAGACGGGGCTGTTAAAGCACGCATACTATCACATACAGACAGGTCACCGAATGTATGCAGTCGATTTGAAGAGGCGTGCTTGTCCCGAACACGGCCTCCAGCCTCTTCAAACAAAAGGTTTCAAGGTCCATGCAAAATGCAATGACAACAGAAGGAGTTCGGGCTGAACTGCTTGGAAAGTCCATGAGACGCCCGGTCTTAGTCGAAAATGTCCTGACGTCAGCTGGTCATCTTACAGTGTCTTACAGAAGCCACTGGTGGTCTTGTGTGGTCTTTGTTCCTATGGTATCAGCCAAATAATGCATACTATGGTAGTCCTCCTTCGGTTGCACCGTTACTGTCAGCACACTCATTGTTTGATAGCTGTAGCTGCGCGGATACTTTCGACACGCTCAAAGCTTGTTGAGCCATACGTGGTTTTCCCCAGGGTTCCTGAGTAGCTATGTAGTAGCGTGTAGGGTAGGGTTTCTTGGTGTTCGTAAATATCTTTAGGGGTCTGGGGTTTAGGCCTGCTGTAAAAGGACCTCTGGAGCTATGCCAGATGAGTGGCACTGCAGACTTGAAGGTTTGTTCCCAGCAGAGACTGTTGCAGGCTGAAAGCACACGGGATTAAATTAGGAGTCTTCTGTGGCATTGCACCCACATCCTTCTTACTACGCGTAAGGACCAACGACGGCACAAAGATGGCCGGTCCCGAGTTTGTGCAGTATTCTGCCCAGCCACACCCGGAAACTTTTCGAGCAACGAGCCGGGGAGTGGGGAGGGATGGGTTGGGTGAGGGGCTTACTTTGCCTTGTGTACAGACTTGGCAGGGTTGATATTGTCCCACCTGTTTCCATATGGCATCAGCGAGCCCAAATGCAAGAAGCGTGAAAGGGGAGGGTGTATTGTCTAGAACTTAAAACTCGAGGTATCGAGTTCCTGCCTCATTCCAGGATACTTGTAGGGTTCAGGGGGAGTTTCAGATTTTCATTTCCAGTACTAGGTGGGACAACGAACGGTTTGTCGTCATAGTCGCCATAGCCCTGTCTCCTACAAGCCCATGCCCGAGCCGATGAACCCATAAATCGCATGACGGAAGCAGCCCAGCAGCAAAAAAAGGCCTTTCACTACCCCAAAACCCAAAACCGGCGTCCTCGTTTCTCTGAGAAACTCCGATTCAGCCTCTGGTAACTCCCGAGCTCAGGATGTTCCTTCCGGCGCCTATGCCGTCGGCGGCCCCCTGCACCCCGAGAGTGCTGCCGCAAGGTAAACGACGCCGGGACGAGAAGCACTGCTTTGGACTTGGGGTAGAGGCTTCAGATACAGAGCAGTGTATATACCCTTCTAGTCGCTGCATAGGGAGGTATGGATTTGAGTCTTTCGGTCTGACATGAAGCATGTAGACTTCTTACGAAGTGGAGAGAGGCTGTTGCCCGAGAGGCAAAGAGACCTTAAAGCCAAAGCCCAATATAGTGGCCTAAATAATTACCTGTACTATTTTTGGGGGTTCCTTANNTTCCTTATTATAAATATAGTATATAATATACCCCAATACTCTATCTTTATTATTAAGGCCCCTAGAATATTCATAAATATCAGGATTGCGGCCTAGCTTAGATGTTGCCTTAGTCTTTGGGTTTCCGGGCCGATCCAAGGGCTTTGGGAGTACAGCCCGGCATTTACGTAGAGAGCTTGGAGGTTTTGACTCCTGGAACACAAGAGCTCAGCTTATTCATCAACATGTTGCTTCTAATACTATATTGTATATATACATATATACATACATACATACATACATACATACATACGTGCATATATATATATATGTATGTATGTATGTATGCATGTATGTATGCATGCATGTATGTATGTATGTATGCATGTATGTGTGTGTA